ACAAAAAGTATTAAGATGTTTTACTATAAGCTCTCATCCGTTTGCATGCATTTTCTTAAGCACGATCATTTGTATTACGCTTTAGGAATTAAAAGATTGTGTGTTACTTAGGAAGTACCAAAAACAATCAAACACAGGAAGGGTATCAACGTAGGAAACAAATAGCATACAAGCCACAACAATCAAAATCAAATTCAAACAATTCAATATAACTCAGATTTGCAAAGTTCAGTAGGAATTTCAAAACTCTAAAGCGATTAAGCTTGAAATTGGATCTGACCTGGATTCAGAAGTTATCGCGATTGAAGCGTATGATCTCTCAATTGATATGATGTGCATTCGTAACATCATTTTTGTTTTTAAACATTCAATTCTGAATTTTTAAATCCTAATAACAAAACTTGTTCAAACCAGATCGAATTGTACCGAATCCATAATTGGATCAAATATATTTTGGTTCAATTTTAATCCCATGAATTCTCTATGTGCACCAGTAGTACCTCCATGAATACCAACTCCTCACACCATACTATCAAGAACAACTTTCTCAATTTAAGGCGATATCTACTAGCTTGTGGTATGTGGCTACAAATTTATCAAGTTTAGAGGCCAAGATCGTATTCCCTAGGGTTTCTCTATAAGATCTCAAATATTTTCTCAACAAGATATTGTCCTCTTTGGACCTAGAACCTCACGAATTTTTCTTTGTGGTGCATATCAAGGAAGTTAGAATGTCTCCTTTAAGGAAGTTGATGAATCAACGCTCTTGGTTTGGGAGTTGCTTGTAGCTCACAAGCGGGAGAACGACGTAAGTGTCGAAGACTGTTTTAGGTTCATTATTCGATAACCGGACTAATTCCGAACGTACAATGGATATAGGGTAGAAACCCAAATAACTATCCTAACCCTAGCCGAGACCTATAACTCGGCCACCTACTACCCCTCTCTAAGATGACCCAAACAAAACCCTTCCCCCATGTAACTACCCCTAAACCGAGCCCAACCAATTCTCTCATTAGAAGTTGACGCAATTCAATCGGTTAAGGATCGATCTTGATGGACTTATGTGTGGAGTCTCATCCACCTATAAACTCGGGTTTGAGGATATTTCCTTTGAAGATAGTCCTCATCTTACGCACGCGATCGGATTGATAATAATCCAATCTCAGAAATCAAACATAAGAAATAGATGAAATTAATCTAATATATACCAAAATTAAGAGTTACATAGTCAAAGAACCTCTAGGGTTCACCAACCTACATAACTAAGGCACTAGCCGCTCATGTGGATGGGATTTTGGGGACTATCTATCGAACTGATATCACCATATCACCCTTGGAATCAGCGGCCATAACAAGTAATCATCGGCTAGGTTGCCGCTTTTGACGCCATTTTCCCTCTGAATCTAACTTTGCTCTAAATCAAGAGAGTCATTCTCTCAGTAGAGTAGTGGCTCTCTAATGCATCCTATCACTGGATGTCAAATATCTGCCCCCCTAGGATTCTATTTTTAGGCCTCTTCATCATGTTTTTGGGAGGTAAGGTTGACCTAAAACACATCAGTCGAACTCCTTTGCGTCTCTTCCAACTTGGCCACCAAGTTTAACATATTCCTTGATAATCTAGGCTCGATATAGAGACTCCCCAAAATGGAGGCCTAGGAACCATTTTGGACTCGGTTCGACTAGTTTCCATGTTGTTTTCAGGACTTCAATTCAATCTTGCATTCTGACTCGCTAAAACACAACTCCTAACAATGGCTAAATATAGCCAATGAAAGAGATTATAGTATAGTGGTGCAATTAATAAATATCAAATCAACGAGGTCTCTAGAGTTACTATTACTCGCTTATGTTTATTAACTTGCAAATTAGATTAAGCTTTGATTAACTAACTACTCCTACAAGCTACTCTAGGTTAGACTACTAATCACAAATTGATAACTCAATTAGGTATGATTCCCTCTAGCCACTAGCCACATTAATGATTGACGATCTCTAACTTGTTTCACTTTCATTCACAATGTGGAGAGTCCTTAACTAGACCTTGAATCTCGACTAAAGAATTCAAGGGCCTCTTGAGTTGATTGCCTACATAAATGTATCCCTCTCTAGAACAATTGATGAAAGCGTTCTAAGCTAGATCCCCTCTATCGAATTAGGTTCTCAATCAATACAAAGCATTGAATCAAACCTTGACTAAAGCAATTGATTCAATGATATCAATATATGGTGCTCCATTGACCTAATTAGGTATTCGCACTCATAAGATCAAAGCAGAATCAATAATCTCGACTAAAGCATAATTGAATCATGAAAACATAAATAAATTGAATATGAAATCAAGATTATCAAGTAGGAGTACCCATAGAGAAGAGAGAGACTGCAGTGGGAATTTTCATATGACCAATCTTCAAGTCCAGGCTTGTTTCTCAAGATTCCAAATTAAAAAGATCCTCAAATTACGCTCTTCACCATCCAATTGCTCTCTCACTCTTTGGTTTGTCCCATGGGTGTTTGGAAACCAAAAGCCAGCTCCCCGGCCCAAAAATCGCAAAATAGCCTTTATACCCGAAACTGAAATTTGCACCCATGTCTGCATAGGCATGCAAATTGGTCTCTTGGTCATGCAAACTCTCTAGAAACCATGCACGACCATGCAAATATGTGCGCATGCACTCCCAAGCTCCGTTTGAGCTCGTTTGACCTTCGATTGACCGGAACTTGTGCCCAAGCCTTCCTTTACCTGTTAGGGCCTGAAATACATCAAATGAACTAAACTAGCATAAAATATGCCTAGGAACATTCAATCTCTACGCTAAACAATCAATAAATGAAGGGATAAAAATGTGTAACTATAGTGTTATCATAATCCTCCACACTTAACAGTTTGCTTGTCCCCAAGCAAACTTGACTCAAATCAATGCAGCTCACCAGACCTTCATAACAACATTAACCCTGATCGTCAACAGTGGGTTTTCTAGACCACTTAGCAACTTATGAGGTCAATGGATACACAAGATATCCCCTAACTCTCTCACTGAGAGCTCTAGTCTCGAGCCAAGATCATGCCAAGTAAAGGACCTAGGACAGATAATTCATGGAGGAAGAGACTCTCGAAGCACACATAACTATGGACTCTTCTTTTTCGATGCTCTTTTCCCTTTATTTCATTTGTTGGATCCTCTAATCCTTACTTTTCTATTTTCTTTTCCATTCATTTTCATTGGCGGGGTTCCAACATGCAGTTTCAAGGTCGACCCTTATTGGTTGAGCAAGAATAATTTTTGTATCTCTATTGCTTATCAGAATATTTCTTTAACTCCTTTACCTCAATTCGTGTGGAGGGTCAATGAATTTAAGAGGGGTCGGAAGCTTTATCCGTGCTCTTAAAAACACATCCTCGAGTAGGAGTACCTATTGGTGGAACTTTTACTTGTACTATAAAGGAACTAGCATCACCTTGTAAGACTACCTCACTAAAGATCAACTAGTGTCTTTTCCAAAACTCGATTTACTACAATGAACGATGTCACACATGTTGGGCTTACACCATGCTTCAACACGGAGGACCAACTAGTTCTTATTAAGCACAATTAGAGCACTCAACATGATACACGAGTCTAAAACATAGATAATCATCGATAACCATGAATCCAACGTCCTAGGACCATTAGTTAACACAATCAAACAGAACAGTATGAAAAAGCTAGGCGAGTTCTCATGCATCAACATCCTCCATAGTGCTACCGAGTCAGGGTATTGGCTTGCAGTGCAACCGAGTCAGATGATGGTTAGATGAAATCATGGAGCAAGTTTGATGGATCAAAAGTTCTAGATGGAATAGGTGTAGCAGTTGGCTCAGTGTCCAGTATGTTGGGCCGAGGAGGAAAAAATGGAACATGTTTTTCTTTCTTGTCTGCTTATGGTGGCCCTTTCAGAAGCCTCTGGGTTGAGACCTCTAACGTACAAATAGGGGTTGATAACCTCCCCATTTTCCTTGGACGGATACTGCAGTATGAGTAGATGTGGCAGTTTGAATCCAATCTAATCAATTCACTAAAAATGAAGTAATTCAAAATCAACTGGATTGGTGGATTCATGGATTGTTGAAAAACTACAGTATCGTATATATATTTTTTTATATTTTACAATTTGATACCTAACTTTTAATTTTTAATAAATATAGCATTGGAAAGTTATTTTTCCATACATAAATTTTTTATCATGACATTTTATTACCTCAACTTTTCAAAATTTACATATTGGTTCAATGTTTAAATGCTATTTGGATCCATGAGTCCATACCATCAATTCATTTGATCTAGTCGATGGATCCACCAATCCACCAATCCATGAATCCAATACATTTGCCACCTCTAACATGAGCCATGAGGGGATGGTGATGGAATGCTATGAGGGATGTTTTCATGGTGCGAGAAGCAAGTTTAAAGGGGATCAAGAGCTTCGATTGCAAAGTTTCTAGCTTTGCGTGAAGCGATTCGATGGTGTAAAGAGATTAGATTTTCTTCGGCATGGTTAGTTTAGGGATGTGAAGGTGGTGATTGAATTTGGGAATGCTTGCTGACGCCAGGAGAGGTACTATATTTATAGGGATTTTGTGGTTGCTTCCATCAACCCAATGTTTTACATATGGATAATCTATATGGTGGTTAAGAAGGCCCTCGCTTTATCTCTAGTAACTTTGCTCAATTTTAATTTTTTTGCTTGGCTCGATACAAAATTGTGAACGACTTTTTGTTGTTGGAGGTATCTTTGCTCTTATTTGTAACGCAAGCAATCTTTTGTTCAGCCAGAGAAAATCCATAAGACGAAACCAAACTGCCAACTGGTTTAAGTGATGGGCCTTGCCCCCACTGATACAACCAATCACGAGGGCCCAATTCTTCCATCAAAGTTCGCCCGGTTGAAAAACAGGGAAAAAGGACCCACAAGAATTCAGAGGCCTAGCCCCAGAATCTGGTTGTTTCCGAACTCCGATGGACGGAAACGAAGCTTCGTCCTACTACCAGCCGTCGTCGCCCGGTCACTTTCCGGTGACCTACTATCAACAGACACTTCCACACCCACCGCTGCCGCCGCCGCACGTCTATATTCCACGTCATCAAGTTTCTCCCACTCCTTATACCCCTTCGTATGGCGCATATTCTTCGAGCGATGCCGTCTGCATTCTCTTCGTCGCCAGCCTTCCAGACGACGTTAAGCCCCGAGAAATCTACAATCTGTTCCGTGAGTTCCTTGGTTATGGGTCCTTCCACCTTCAAAGCTCTGGCGATGGAAAGGTGCTTCTTCTCCGACCTTTAACCTAGCTTTTCTTGTACGCATTGTGTTGTGCGGTGGATTCCAATTGATAGAGGAATTCGTGGTACAATTATGCCGGGATTATTTTTTTTTTGGGTGTTATTAGTCTGAAACAATTTTGTGGTTATAGTGATGAAGATGGACGGAAGTCTTAGGTGCATATGTTGAATTGCTCGTTAGAGCTTCTAAATGATCTGATTGCATTTTCCTAGCAATTCTGGTAATTGGCTTAGTTGCTTAACCTGTGGACTAAATTTGGCTGGCAAGCAATTGATTTTCCTTCTCAATTTGCTGCATTCTGACATTTTCTTTTGGCTGGGACAACCATTTGCGTTCCTACATTCGTGGATCAGCCATCTTCAGTTGCAGCAATTCATGCACTGAATGTAAGAAACTTGTGCTAAATCCTTAAATTAGAGGTAGTAATTTTTTGTTTTGTTTGGAAGCAGACATTGCTGAATCATTTTCTGTTAAGTATGGCATTAGTAAGAACCTAAGGCGAGTTCTGCCTAATAGAGTTTGGTAAACTGTGATATACTCAGGGATAGAAAGCACCTCAGTTTGATGATTGTTTTGTGCATTTAGTTCTTATTCGTAGACTAATGTCGATTATCATAAATGATATTCTTCTGTTTGTAAGGAAGCCCTTTGAGGAAAATTGGTACAATAGAGAAGTATCGTGGTTTTGGCTTACCCTTTGAAATCATATGACAGGGAATGGTTTTTGATCTTGAGGAGGGCTCAACCCTGTATATTGATCTTGATAAATCGAATTCTAGATCCAAACGTTCAAAAGGTGGTAATTGGTTGCCAATTTGCATACCTTTAGTGTCCTTGGTAGTAGTTGATTCTTCTTTCTTGGCTCTACCTTTTAGTATTTTTTGTAGTATGCGCTCCTGATTTTGAATTGTTTTAGATGATGAACGGTCCGGCTTGGACAAGAAAGTTAAAAGATTTTATGTGGATTCAACAGTTGCCACTGACTCAGGTAAGAACATGTAGTAAAAATGTTAGATCAGTAAATTGTCCAGCACAACAATTGCATACAAAGTTAATAGTCTTTTCTTCTTCTTCTTCTTCTTCTTCTGACTTTCAAGAGGTTCTTATCAGTAATTTATCATCTCTTACCCATTTGAGTTCCTTGATTGTTCCATTTACTTACTTTGGTACCCAAACCGATTAGTGGTCTCACATGAAAGACACAAATATCCCAAAAGCTCACACTGCACATATGTTTTTGCACACTGGGTGAACTAGCAGGTCTTGGCGTAGTTCACTTGCCTGGAACGACTATTTCTCACCACAACACGATTGGTTATCCATCTGCACTAAGGTCACTGCACTACCTGAGCACATCTAATGTTACTTGATAGTGGCACCTAGAATACTTGGTATATCTTTCTAATGGAAGCAATTTAATTAACTGAAAGGTTCAGGGTTTATTGTCAGCAGCTACTGCGCAACCTGATTCCTGTAGTTGAAGTATATCATCCTCCAATTTAGAAATCTTTTTCTGTACCTGTGTATGCACATATTGATATGTTTCTGTAATAATGCAGTCATGAGAGCTTTGACGCCAGAGCTCCTACTTATTCAATATCTTCAAAATTAGTAAGTATTTACACTCCATATCTTTCCTGGGTAGTCATTAAAGTTTTTCCCTATCACTCATTCTCATCCTTGGTGCTACTAACATGGCAGCAGCTTTGTTCAGTTAAGGAATATTTATTGTTCAGTACCGGCATCACTGTTACAAAAATTGCATCTTGTCCACAGTCCACTGTGTCATGTGTTTCCAGTTCTGACATAAGTCCTTTTGTTTTAATGTTGCAGACGAATTCTTCGGTGCCCCCATGTCCTACACTATTTTTGTCCAACCTGGGGCCGCAGTGCAGAGAGCATGAACTAACCCAAGTTTTTTCAAGGTAAAAAAAGAAAAGAAGCTTTTGAATCCGTCGCCCATGAAAAGCGTTTTGTTTGAAGTCACGTGTTTCCCAATCCTTTTGTTAGATGGCGTGGGTTCTTGAAGCTGAAAGTGCAGAGCACATACGGGCCACCAGTTGTGTTTGTAGATTTCCTGCTGCATATAGAGATCCAGTTTCCCACTCCTTGACAATAGATTTGAGGAAGGGAATTCAGAATTTAACTCATTTGTCTTTGGCGAACAATGTGGATATGGTATCTGCAGGACACCGGCAGTTCAACCGAGGAATTGAATCAGCTGCAGGGATCAATCCTCTACTCATCCTCATCTGGCGAGGGCATCCGCTTGGAGTATCCTTTACCAGATGGTACATATGCAAACTTCATTTCCATTTTTCTGTCATCAAACTGTATAGCCGTTAGTATTCCTTTAATACGAACCTAGATATGCAAAATCACGGATGGGAATGCGAAGGAAACCAAGGTTGCATTAGCCAAGCACGAGCAAGGATGGCGGATATAGAACGTGTTTCAACTTTGTCTTCACATCAACTGCCACCTCTCTTCATGTTCAATATGAAATGGACAAGATGAAGTTTCGAAAGTTTTTTCCTCTTCACTTCCCCCTAAACCAGCCTCCGTTTTGCACCGTGTCTCCTCTTCCAGTGTGTAAGGGTGGTGTTGATGTGCAAAGAATGGCAGGAGCAAAGAAAGATCAAAGGGGAACGCGCAGAATAAGTAGCCTGGCCTACACACGGTTTTGGAAGAAGAATACAATGATTGATGCAGCGGTTGATTGTGTCGGTTTCACAATTCGAATGCGGTTCAGAAAGGTGAAAGGAGAAACATCATTTGCCTGACAAATACGGCAAGATCCCTCAGCGAACTCTCATAATTTCAGAAACGCGGCCGCCGCCCATAAACATGATCTTTCCACTTCCGGTATCTCTCTCTCTCTCTCCTATTTGCATTCCTCTCTCCTATTTCCAACTCCTGGTTGGTGGAGTCCTCTGTTTTCACTTACCCACTTGGTTCACGATGGTGATGGATTGGTGTTATATTTTATCAAGGCGATGATAGATGACAACTGAAAAGCAACGTTGATGCCGTCCTTAATTTTCATACTTCGCCTGTGTGTGTGAAAAGGGAAATTAAGGTGGGGGTTGGGGTTATGATTGAAGGGAAGACAGAATCCAACGAGTAGGGTTTGAGTTCTAAAATAGCTGATCCATTACAGATTGGATTGGTGCGCGTGGATTGTGCTTGACTAGCGGCCTCGCAACATTTTAATCTCAAACCAATAAATTTTTTAGTGTTCTACATAACCAAAACAAACCATCAAAATTAGAAAGAGTTCCCCCTTTTCCGATCAGAAGATCTCTTACAGTCTCTATTTTTCTTCCTTCTCAATCTTTTCAATATTATGGTACTGAAAATAATTGCAAAGTTCGATTTGTTTCCATGGTTAATCTATATATATACACTGCCTTCTACGTTTTTTCGCCATCTCAATTCAAAGTCTAGTAAACATAATTTTCTTACTTTGACAAAGACAAACAATGTTGACCCTTCAAAAATTATTGAGAAGCATATAATCATATGTTTAATAGTTTGAATATTTTTGGTGATTTATGAACAATTACGGGTAGTATTTTTGTGAACTGAATTATTCGTCTCATATATAGGTTAAATGTTGTTTAACATGAAATTTCTTTTCATTTCAAGTTTAAAATAATTTGAATCATGTGGTCTTTTGTAATGTACATTGTAAATTCAGTGAACTCATTCAACTACCCATCATCTGCAATTACCAAATCCCACCCACCCTCAAATACATGATTAGTGGATGTGGGCCATTTTCTACTTTATCCATCATATAGTGGGCGAATTCAAATTTACCCACATCCCCTTAAAATCACCCTAGTTGCTCACCCCTAAACAAGGAGAGTCATCCTAAACATTGACAAGTGACCATGTTAATGTATAGTTTGGCGTTTGAGTCTGAACTGAACTCGTGCAATGAGGGTAAAATATATTGGGTACGACTTAACTTTTAGAATTGGGGTAGACATATCCCTTAATGTTGAATAGGGCGTCGGGTACTATTGAACTCTATAATATGTGCACCCGATACCACTTAAGTTTACTGTTAAGTGTATTATGTTAAAGTTGACAGAGTATTCTCGGAATATTCCGTTTTCTAAATTTCGGAATTGATCATTCTGCTGTTATTATTGTAAAAAATAGTTTTGACTTCTGAAAAATATCATTTTTTATTGTTTAGTTGGAATTCGCTTTTGAAGATTCCGATACCAGACCAATTTTTGAATAGAAAATTTATAATCAATTATCATTATAAGTATTTTCAATCATATATGTTCTAATATTTGAATTTTTTTCTGAAGAAAATATATCCTATGAATTTTATCTTGATGTAAATAATCCGGCGATGTTATATTTAGTTCTCTTATATCATATTGATGTTGTCTAATTTTCTATGTTAAATTTCCTTATAATTTTCTAATATTATATTATAGATGTTCCATATTAGTTAATTCACTAATTCTGATTCTCTTCCTATAGTTATATATTTTTATAGATTTGTTACTGTATGTTGTAGCTTTTATAGTTTACTAATTACTTAGTTACTTTTCCTATCTTGTCGTTCAATTTTTTTTCCAATTATTGGAATATCCTTCTTTGTTCTTGATGTATTGACCGTCGATTAGGTTCTATTTTAATTGTTTTTTTGTGGTACTTTTAATTGTATTCGGGGTTTAAATAGATATTCTAATATCAATTTTAAATATTTATTATTATCTTTTAGTATATTTATTATTCCTTCTATTATTTTTAGTAATTTATCTATTTTATTGAAAATATTTCATTAACCATTCTAGTAATGCTATGTTTAGAAGGTTTTCTAATTTTATATTAGTTAATACTTGTTGAAATATAGCTTTGCATGTTTTTAAAAGTTTGGGTACCAAAAGGTTATTAAAAATTTGGGTTGGATGGAAAACTAGACGGATGCAGCTTTTGGTGACTTTAATGGTACCCGACGCACTATTCAAAGTTAAGTGGTATTTCTACTCCAATTCTCAAACTTAAGTGATACCCGAAGTATTTTACCCTGCAATGTGATAGCAAGCCATATTTAAATCAGGTATTTTACCCTGCAATGTGATAGCAAGTCATATTTAAATCATAATTTTGATGTCCTATACAAGGAATAAGAATAGTATATTGGTCATACAAGTCATATTTCAACCTAAGAAAAAAAAAGAAATCAGAAAAACTGAATAATTCTTCCATACTGGTATATTCGTATAACTATAATCTGTTTTGAAAATATATAAATCCATAATTAGACTTTACTCTGTGAATCTATTATAGAACATGCAAAACATCATCTTGTGTTCAAGATCAATAATGGAATGAAATGTTTATTGTTGCGCCCCCCTACGCTTTCTGGAGGGCAGACATGTTCTCAACCTAGCCGACCCATCTCTGATCCTCAGCTTCACATTCACCTCATGATACCTAGCTCGACTGTTTTCATATGGCGTCATACGCAGATCATTATGATGAACTCTCATGGACATGCTAGAAACCTTTTTCTCCTCTCTATCCAATCAGAGAGAAGCAATGGTTGACATTGGTTGATCACTCAATATAGATATCTCCATGGTTATTCATATTTCACATTTAATGTTGTCCTACGTACCGGGCACATACTAGCCGAGCAACACCTCACAATCCAACAATAAGACAAAACGAGAGAACTAAAAAAAACAAAGTATTACTGGCCTTGAATTCTCCAATCGGATTCTATGTTATCCTGAGATCTTTCTTGTTTTTAATAATCAGAAAGCATAATTTGTTGACCTTTCTCCATTTTTCTCATATGAATTACCTGACAAGATGGCTCTGAAACGAGGATGATTTGATCTCTGAAGTTTGATAGCTTTTTAGTCATTTGGATTGCTCCAATTTCATATCAAGCCCAACTCATGATGAGATGCTTCTAGAGCATCAACAATAATTTATGATTAAAAAGCGGGGAGTAATATATTTTCATGAAGTTTAGTGCGAGAAAGGATTCAAATTTGAGACTTATCTTAGGTGATCTTCAACCACATGCATCGATTGCAAAATTTATTGGTAGAAGATAACCTTTGGGGGGTTTGCTATTATGATCACGGGTAAACTACAAGTAATTATTATCTTACATGGAGTTCGGGGGCGGTTCTAGTATAACACAAATTTGGTCAGGTTGAGCACAAGATTGGTAAGGAAGATCATAAAGCCGATTTGATTGATTACTTCTGCTTTCGTAAACAAAATGTTAGTTTGTGGAGCTTTATCAAGTCTTTTGATTGATAACTTGAATGTATATATTGAAGACTCCAAAAGTGGAAAGTATTAACATAATAATGATGATAGTGAAGAAGGATGAATATAAAATCAAAGGCCTGAGATTTGAGATATTCAAACGTGCATGATAATGTACAAAGAGGTTTTTTGTTTGTGACCCCAAACTAGATGCATCAACGAACAATTCTACATTAAACACACACTCTAAGATCTGAAATGCATGCAAAATTGGTTGATCAAAGTGAAAGTAATCGTCTGAATAAGATGATGTCATACATATTTTCCAAGTATATTAGATGTTCTTCACATGCTATTTTTGTACACATTTTCCGGAACAAATTGGTTAAAGTTTAGGGTTAAGGGTTTAGGTTTTAGAGTAGAAGGAGCTTCAAGGGTTCTGTACCAGAGTTCATCCTTTACAAGTTAAGGTTTAGGCTTAATTTTATACGTGATTTTTAATAACTTAAATTTCAAGACTTAATTTTATATTCAGTGTTCTTCAAAGTCATCATTACTGTATTCATTCTTTCCCCTTTTGGAGAACTCGATAGAGCTCTACGAAACTAATCGTCATTATTTTTACAGAAGCAGAAGTAGTAAACCTAATTAGCGACCATTTGATTCACGCAATTTGCTTGAACCGATCTTTGATTGACCTAGTAAGAAATATGAAGGACCTAATCACCGTTCTTTTTTCCATGTTTTATGAAAATCTAATTACTTAAGAAAAAGTTGGTTAAACACAAAATTTTATTTGTCTCGCTTTTTCAAGCTTACATAATCTTATATTTCATTCAAAGCCCGATTGGATTC